TAATCCCATTCGGTATGGAATCATAGAAGAGCAGGATGGTTGGTTCTCCGTATTTAAATTACTAATGCCCAGTTGTAAGCTGGGCAAAACACCCAACATTATAAAAGTATCAAAAGTAAACTCAGTGTCATGGGTCTTATTTGACAGAAACCTGATGATTGTGTGTGAACAGAAACTTTGCTGTTAAGAGTCTTAAGCAAATTTAAAATTTCTTTTAGTTCGGCTTACTGATCCATACCGAATGGGATTACATAATTACACATTTGCCTCGTGGCAGTGCTTTGATATAACTGAAGTAAATAATTACGGAACAAGATAGCTGCCAGGACTGAGCACGTGACTCACTCACAGTGCTCAACTAGCTGTGCACGTCCTGGTTTCCATAAATTTAAAATTTCTTTTAGTTCGGCTTACTGATCCATACCGAATGGGATTACATAATTACACATTTGCCTCGTGGCAGTGCTTTGATATAACTGAAGTAAATAATTACGGAACAAGATAGCTGCCAGGACTGAGCACGTGACTCACTCACAGTGCTCAACTAGCTGTGCACGTCCTGGTTTCCATTTCTAGCACTAGAAAAAAGAACTGTGAGATAAAATAGCTACAAATATTATATCTCCATGCAAGTCAACATTGCTATGAAAAAACAAGATAAATATTTAAATCTAAAATATATTTGCAGTCTTAGAATATCTACCAATGTCCACTGCCCTTTTTGTAATTACCCACCAATGATTATAAGAATGTCTAATAAGAATGAGCGTAAGCTACATTTACTAATAAAAGTATTAAAGTTCAAGTAGAATCCATAATTATTTTGTTTAGATTTAATCTGGCAGAAGTTATAAAGATCACATAGGTTTTATTAAGTACTCTAGGAAAATTCTAGTTAAATGAGCACAGTTTTGCCACTGCTCAACTGGAAAGTGACATGGGAAAAAAACACACCCCTGACCCACATGTATTCTGACTTTCAGGGTGACAACCAGAACGACTGCTGGATCTTTGCCTTGACAGTACTTTTGAGCAGTACCTTTGTGTACAATAGCGTGGGAGCCATCAACCAGCAGGCCATGGACCAACTGCAGTATCCTTTCTGTGGTGCAGAACATCCTAGCCTGTGAATGGAGTAGAGTCAATATCAAAAGACACTCAAAAAAAACCAAATGCAAGGTGTGCATGTGGGGGATCCTGTATACCTACTAATAAATTGGCATGAGTCAAAACAGCAAAATTCTTGTGGGAATAGATGAGACTAATATGAGGTGAGAGGATCAGGGACCCTGTTCATCTAATCACTTTTCCTTAGCTACTCAGCTATGTGACAGAGCTGACAAAACGTATCAGATCCAAATCCTCCCCTGGCTGCGATGCGGTGGAGGACTCTGCCAACTTTGTCAGCTTCTTCCCTGACTTTGTGTGGACTCTGAGAGATATGACCCTGAAGATAGAAATAGATGGACAGTTACTCACAGCAGATCAGTACCTGGAGAATTCCTTGAAGCTCAATGAAGGTACCATGAT